GGTTAAATATATATTTAACTGCTTCAAATGGAAAATTGTATAAGAATAATTTTGAACCACTATGGGCAAAAGTCCAAAAGGATTTAAGAGATTGGAAAAAATTGCAATTGTCATTGTTGGGGAGAATTTCAGCTGTAAAAATCAATGTTCTACCAAAGTTTCTTTTTTTTGTTTCAGATGATACCTATTCTTAAAAAAGAGGCAAATTTGGAGGAATGGCAAAAGGGTATCAATAATTTTATATGGGCCGGGAAGAAACCAAGGGTTAAATTTAAGATATTACAGGATGCTCGAGAAAGAGGGGGACTTAAGGCACCTAATTTGAAATTATATTATGATGCAGCCGCCCTAACTTGGTTAAGTGATTGGCTTAATTTAACAAATATGGATATTCTTTTTTTGGAAGGTTGGGATTTAATATATGGTTGGCATGCATATTTAATTTTTAATAAGAAAGTTGATCGGACTTTTAAATCACATATTTTGAGGAATGCCTTACTTCGTGTTTGGAAGAAGTATTATTATAGATTAAATTATAAAATACCTATCTGGGGGATTCCCAGACATGCAATTGAGGGAACTTCTAAGGGGACAAATTTTGACAAAATCTCGTATAAAGAATTGTTAATTCGCTCTGGTTCGAATTGGCATTTGAAATCCCTAGATGTACTAAGGCAGCAAAATATTCTACAGTCATGGTTTCAATATTTACAAATAATGGATAGATGGACTATAGACAAGAAAGAGGGAATAACACTAGAAGATAGACAATTGGTTATTCAGACTAAAAACCAAAGTCCGGCTCATATAAAAAGAATATACAATGTTTTATTAGAGTTAGATTCGGAAACAGAATTGGTTAAAGACTGTATGATTAAATGGGCTCAGAATATACAGCCAATCTCATTGGATTTATGGGAGACAGTATGGATAAGAAATGTTAAATTTACACAAGCTCAAAATTTGAGAGAAAATTTTTATAAAATGTTCTATAGATGGCACTTAGATCCTAAAAAATTATCTTGTATGTATTCCAATATACAGCCCAAATGTTGGAGATGTGGCAATAATGATGCGACATACTTTCATATTTGGTGGAATTGTAAAAAAGTAAAGGCTTTTTGGATTATGATTTGGTGGAACATTCAAAAGATTTTTAGAAAAAAGATTAAGTTTACTCCTCAACTATTTTTACTTGGTATTTTTGTTGACTTAAATGAAAAAGAAACTACTTTGATGTTGAATTTATTAACTGCAGCAAGGTTACTAGTAGGTTTATATTGGAAGAAAGATTCCTTGCCTACTTTAGAAGAATGGATATTTAAAGTATCTAGTTTTGCAGAAATGGCAAAAATTTCTGCTTATTTAAAGGATCATACACAAGAAAGATATATTATTGTATGGGGAAGGTGGATAGATTATATTCAGAAAAAGTATGGAATTAAAAAGTTTCATTTATTTTATGAATGAATTTTAAATATTATAGAGAATTGTTTTATAGGTTATGGAGTTAAAGGTTAATTATGATATTTTTTTCTTTTTTTTCTTTTTTTTTCTTAATTATTATAATTTTTTTATTATTAACCCTGTATTCTGCTCTGGGAAGTGAAGGGAGGGGGGTTGGGAGTGGGAGGGAGGGTAAGGGTTTTTTTTTTTCTACTTTAAAATTTTATTGTATTTTTATAAATGATTGTATGTTTAAAAAAAGAAAGTCATCTTATACGCCGGAAAAAACGGTACAATATTGAATTTCTGTTTATAGATGAGCACAATAGGAACTCCATTCATTTGCTGCTAGAAAGTGAGTGTTGTCCCCACTGCTTCCCTAATGCTTCCTGAACTCAGCTGGTATTTTTTCCCCATATATTTTATTGATTTTTTAAAACATAAATCACTTAATAGTTGGTAAACAGTGTGTTTGCTGGGTTTACATTTGTAAAGAAAAATCATTAACAATTGGTTTCTATAATCTATAATCCACATATAGTACATTTAGTTGATTTCCCCCTTTCCCCAAAATGTCTTCTTTGCAAACCTTGAAATAATATAGTTCTTATTATTTTGATAAAATATATTTAATTTTTAAATATTCCATTTAATGTGCCTAGTCATCTAATCCTTTAGGTCTTATTCAAAACATTTTTTTCCTTTTTTATACATTATAATTTCCCTAAATTCAGACACATTTAATTATCTAAAACATTTACTTCATCTAGGCCATTTCAGCAGTATTATATTACTTATATCAAGAAATAAAATAAAAGGGGGGGGAAGCATACAGTATTATTTAAGGAATTCATCTCTCTTAGAATGACATATGTATTCAGAATCTTCTGTTTCTTTAACCATATTCAAACAAATGTTTCTTTTTTAAATATTCTCTCTGGTAGACCCCATCATCTATTTTCTTAATTTTCACTTTGAACTTTTTCCTTTGACCAGTATCTTTCTTAATCAATTGATTTGCTGAATCAAAATTTTTTTCCATATATTCATGACTGCTGCTATAGGTATAAGAAGTAAATCAAATGTTTCTTTTTTTGTAGATGTAATGTCCTTAATTTATATAGCTTACTGTTTTCTACTATTTAATTGCTTTTCCTGAAAAAGAATAAAGTGATGGGCAATGTAGAAAAATGGGATTTTTGAATGCTTTGTCCTGCTGGCTGTGAGATTCTGGGAGTTGAAGTCCACATGCCTTAAAATTGTCAAGGTTGAGAAACACTGTGTTAGTGCTTATTTCTGTAAAAAAAAAAAGGGGGGGGGGGCTGGCCACTAGGGGGCAGATTGGTTTTAAATTCAGAGAACAGCTACCGGACTTATACAGCGTATAAGACGAGCCCGGACTTTTGAGAAGATTTTCAGGGTTTAGAAAGTCGTCTTATACGCTGGAAAATATGGTAGGCTAGGTCAGGAAACAGACATTCCAGAATATAGGAATGCTACTTTATTGTTGTAAGGTATAATAATAAAACTTCGAAGATCTACCAGAATTTCCCTCTGCCTCCTTTTATACCAAACAGAATTATTATGGGATTATTTTGGGATTCTTAGAGTTTCTACTTTCCCAGAACTGAGTTGTCATTTTTCTTAATTACTAATATATTCCTTCATCAAGGTTATCTCCAAACATACCTTTACAAAAACTAACAATACAAAAATGATTTCAGCATTTAGTCTTCTCTAGTTTTCTGTTTGACTGGGAGATGAGACAGTGACAAATGAATGTAAATATTGCAGCCAGTATGTGGAAAAGGACTTTCAAAAATCTGGCTGTAAATTGACAACCCTAATTTAGGATTATGTATTTGACTAAACCTCTGCACTAAAGTACATGGTCTGGAGCAAATTGCCCAACTTAGTATTGCAGTTCTGACCCAATGACAGATATGGCATCTTTAACATCTGTTCTTACCCTAGAACAAAGTTCCAGAAAATCCAGATGTCTTGAGAAGCAGCTGAAATGAAAAGGTCAAGACCTGAAAGATGCCTTCTTCTTAAATAGACTATTTAAATTGGCTTTCTTTTTTTTTAGAAGTTGAATTAATGGCCTAGTGTTCTCTATACAGAGATTAACCTTTTGTAAAATGTTGGCAAATTTCAAAATTGGAAACTTGAACTTTTGAATGTTCTACCTGCACACTTTCTGTAGAAATCCAATTAACCAGATCATTTAATTGAGGAAGATCAAAGTTACATGTTTCCAAATTACCATACAGTTTGTTTTGGTAAAAGTATTGAACACATTCCTGACATGAGCAATTATAGTCTTTTGAGAAAACAATATATCAAAATGTCATGCAGATGAATGACAATATTCTTACCCAAAATATCTGAGAATATCTTATTTGTGTATCTGGAGAAAACAGCTGGAGAGGTCTCAAAGAAGAATTTTCTTTCTTTTTTCTTTCTTTTCATATACATATACATATGTACAGTGTGTGTGTGTGTGTGTGTGTGTGTGTGTGTGTGTGTGTGTGTGTGTGTGTGTGTGTGTAAATAAAATATAGATAGATAACCATCAAATCATTGATGGAATGTGCAACTAAAGAAGTGGAGGAATGTTGGCAGTAGTATACTAGTTTCCAAGGGAGGAGGCAGTACACTCCAGAAAGGGACCAAGACAAGAAACTGCAGAATCCTGAACTGGATGGTGGTGAGAAAAAAGTTTAAGGTAGTCATAACCTAGAATCTCCCAGGATATTTGTTAGGTTAGAAAGTTATAGCTTTAGTCTGGCAAGATTCTATTAGGTGTAAGCAAATAGAGATCTGAATTTGCGTGGATAGCACTGTGACATTTCTGAGACTTGAGCCTGACAAAACCTTGGATAGCAATAAGACTAAAATATTATATGGCTCTCATATTCTAGTACAATCATGATTAAAAACTTAAAACACTATACAGGTAGGGCATCATCCAGCAGACAGCTCTTTGAGAGCAAATCCTTCTAGTGGCAACTCTTTGAGAGTGAACCTGGGTCCTGGCAGCACAGAATGATGGATTGCTTTTTGAATCCTTCCCATCTCCATGAAGAGATTGCTTTATGAAACACATCCATTGGCCTTTTTATATAGTACAAGGCAATCTGATGATGTCCTGGAAGCAGGAGCTATTTTGGAGTGGCCAAAATGAATTGTGGCCACTCCCAAAATGGGGCATGCTTCAGAGGACACGCAGCATTTGTGTAGTTTGTGGTTAGGGCATTGCAATTCAATCTTGAAAGCTCTCCTCTATTTCAACTTATACCTAGCCCATCAAGGAACAGTTGTTTTGAATTCCTTTTTTTTTTAATTTCTAATTTCCCAGGATTTAAATACATTTTCTGTTACAGCTTGCTTCTTCTACACTATCTATATGGGAATTAGGATGAGCGACCATTTCATCCTTTCATATTTGCATAATTTGAAACCTCAACGCAATGTGCCATTTAAGAAGTATCTTAGTATACTAACAAAAGTTACACATGTTGCTTTGACACTTTTGGTTTACTTTGTAACAGAGGATCAGGATGATTATTTTCTTTTATGTGATGCCTTACCTGAAGACAGAGAACTAAGGGAGAAACTTCAACAACAAAGACTGGTAAGATATTTTATTTAAATATACTGAGATTGTGAAATGATTTATACAGATAAAATGGAAGTCAACAACTCCTAGTTGTTCTCTTTCAATAGTATGTTACAGACTTTATCCTTGAATCTGAACTTTATCCTTGAATTGTCTATGGTTAAATTCATGTGGGTAAGGGTTGCACTCCTAGAAAAAGATGCATTGCTTTGCCAAGGTGAGGTTCTGATGATAGAGGAGTATGGACTCCAGGAAATGGGAATTCTAGGAATCCTAAGAAAGGAGAGTTCAAGAACTGATCACCTGTCCTAGTGTTAACTTCCAATCTCCAGTGTCTTTTTGCAAAATAGCAATTTACCAACTGAGCATTAACTGAAACAATTGAAGCTTCTTATTAATATGAGCCACTTAATTACCAAACCATCAAGTGCTGTAAGAAGCAGCACAAATTTTAAACTCTTGGAGACCCAAATTAGATAAAGCTTTAGAAAGATTTCTGCTCCCTTGGTCCTCTTTGAATTGATTTGTGCATGTGTTTGTGTTTTACCATTTAATGATTCATTGAATGGAAAGGATACCATTCAGACAGAGTAAAAGAACAGAACTCAACTTTATGAATCTTTCACAAAACACTTCTCAGAATGGTGCTTTTCAGCTCATTGCATGATCTGTTCCTGATGAAATAGCAGTAGAGTTGTTTGTGTGAAAGAACAAATGATGTGGAATTTTCACATTAGTAATAGTAATAGTAGTAAAGTTGGAAGGGACCTTGGAGGTCATCTAGTCCAACCCCCTGCTCGGGCAGGAAACCCTACGCTATTTCGGACAAATGGCTGTCCAGTCTCTTCTTAAAAACTTCCAGTGTTGGAGCATTTACTGCTTCTGGAGGCAAGCTGTTCCACTGATTAATTGTTCTCACTGTCAGGAAGTTTCTCCTTAGTTCTAGGTTGCTTCTCTCCTTGATGAGTTTCCACCCGTTGCTTCTTGTCCTGCCTTCAGGTGCTTTGGAAAATAGCTTAATTCCCTCTTCTTTATGGCAGCCCCTGAGATATTGGAATACTGCTATCATGTCCCCCCTTGTCCTTCTCTTCGTTAAACTAGACATACCCAATTCTAGCAACCGTTCCTTATATGTTTTAGCCTCCAGTCCCCTAATCATCTTTGTTGCTCTTCTCTGTACTCTTTCTAGAGTCTCAACATCTTTTTTACATCGTGGTGACCAAAACTGGATGCAGTATTCCAAGTGTGGCCTTACCAAGGCATTGAAGAGTGGTATTAATACTTCACGTGATCTTGATTCTATCCCTCTGTTAATGCAGCCTAGCACTGTGTTGGCCTTTTTGGCAGCTGCAGCACACTGCTGGCTCATATTTAAGTGATTGTCTACTAGGACTCCGAGGTCCCTCTCACAGTTACTACTATTGAGCATGGTGCCACCTATGCTGTACTTGTGCATTTGGTTTTTCTTGCCTAAATGTAGAACCTTGCTTTTTTCACCATTGAATTTCATTTTGTTAGTTAGTGCCCAGTGTTCAAGTCTGTCCAGATCCTTCTGTATCTGAAGCCTGTCTTCTGGAGTGTTGGCTATTCCTGCCAGCTTGGTGTCATCTGCAAATTTGATGAGTTCCCCATCTATCCCTTCATCCAAATCGTTGATGAAGATGTTGAAGAGTACTGGGCCCAGAACAGAGCCCTGGGGCACCCCACTACACACTTCCCTCCATATAGATGCAGTTCCATTGAGGACCACTCGCTGAGTACGGCCGGTCAGCCAGCTACGGATCCATCTGGTGGTGGTTCTGTCTACCCCACATTTTTCTATCTTGTCAAGTAGTAGGTTGTGATCTACTTTATCAAATGCCTTACTGAAGTCCAAGTAAATTATGTCCACAGCATTCCTCTGATCCACTAATTTTGTCACTTGGTCAAAGAATGCAATAAGATTTGTCTGGCATGATCTATTTTTGACAAACCCATGTTGGCTTTTAGTAATGACTTTGTTTGCCTCTAGGTGTTCGTTGATTCGTTGTTTGATTATCTTTTCCAGGATCTTCCCAGGTATTGAGGTCAGGCTGATAGGTCTGTAATTTCCTGGATCCATTTTTTTTCCTTTTTTGAGGATGGGAACTACATCAGCTCTTTTCCAGTCCTCTGGTAGTTCCCCTGTGTTCCAGGATCTTTGAAAAATATAGTTCAGTGGCTCCGATATCACATCTGCCAGTTCCTTGAGAACTCTGGGGTGTAATCCGTCTGGTCCTGGCGATTTGAACTCATCTAGGCTGGACAGGTGCTCACTAACGATTTTCTTGCCTATCTTAACTTGTGTTTCTGTTTTGTTTTTTGTGGCACTATTTTTGATAGGTTGGTCTGTTTTTTCCCTTTGTGTAAAGACAGATGCAAAAAATGAGTTAAATAGTTCTGCTTTCTCCCTGTTGCTTGTCACCTTCTTGCCACTTCCACCCACTAATGGACCAATCATTTCCTTCACTTTTTTCTTGTTTTTTACATGTTGAAAGAAGCTTTTTTTGTTATTTTTGACTTTGGTCGCAAGCCTTCAGTTCATTTTGAGCCTTGGCTTTCTTCACTTCATCTTTGCAGGCTCGGGCTATTTGCTGATATTCTGACTTAGTTATGTTCCCCTCTTTCCACTTTCTATACTTGTCCTTTTTATCTTTCAATTTGTCAGAGAGTTCTTTATGCAGCCATGCTGGTTTCTTTTGAGAGCTGTTATTTTTCCTCTTTGTTGGTATTGTGCTAGACTGTGCTTTTATTATCTCATTTTTCAAAATTTCCCAAGCTTCTTGAGTTGTTTTCCCCTTGAGGATTCTCATCCATGGAATCCTTCCCAAGCCCTCTCTAAGTTTATTGAAATTAGCTCTCTTGAAGTCCAAGACTCTAGTTTGACTGTGTTCTATTGGTTGTGCTTCTATAATGTTGAATTCTAATATTGCATGATCACTTCCTCCCAGGGTTCCTATGGCTCCAACACCGTCTATCATTTCATCTCTGTTAGTGAGAATTAGATCCAAAATGGCTAATCCCCTAGTTCCATTCTCTACTTTTTGGGAGACAAAGTTGTCTGCTAGGTTTGCCAGGAACCTGTTTGATCTTCCACTTGGTGCGGAGTTTGTCTCCCAGTTGATGTCAGGGTAGTTAAAGTCCCCCATTACTATTGTGATGTGCTTCCTACATACCTTAGTTAGCTGACTAGCAAAAAGTTCATCTATTTCCTCTGTTTGGTTGGGTGGTCTGTAGTATACACCTATGGCAATGTCATTTCCCCCCCCTTTTATATTGACCCAAATGCATTCAAGTGAATCTCTGTTTTTGCTGCCATTGGAGAACTGGGCATGCATATGTAAAACTAGTCTGCAATGGTATTCTGCCCAGTCACCCTCTTCCTTTGTAAATAAACAAACTTCAAGAATGAAAGGTCAAGGATAGTAGGACATTATAGGAGAGAAACTTTGGTACATAGAAGCAGATCAGACCTTTGCAAACAACATGGATAAGCTTGAATTATTCCTATTCCCATTGTCAAGGTGGTCAAAGGCAATGTGGAGATGAATAAGTAGGAGTCTTACAAAAGAGATCCTATGGTCAGTTTGGTGGCTTCAAGTTTTTCTTTTGGGTTATTTGTAAAGCATTTTAATCTCAAGTGCCCTACAGTATTTATATAGACCTAAATATCTTCAACACTCCTGCTTCCCAGTCTCTTGATAATTTCCTATTACTGAAATATAAATGATTTATTTATTTGGTTTTACATGGCAAAGATATATCTTGATTCTCTCACCCTTGGTTTGTTGCCCAAAGCAACATGTAACTAAGCACTCAGAGTACTGAGCAGTAAAAGCAGTAAAAAAAATAAAAGTAGGAATAGAAACAGAAGTACTGAAAAAGTGGGAGGCTCATTAGAAATAATTTATGAAAAGCTTTTTTGCTTTTAAACATATTTTTAAAAGTATAAAGTTGATTTATGTTTGTGGGGTTTTTTTTTACTTTGCATTGATATGCACTGATATCTAACACTATGCAAGACATACTTTTTCTCCATACAAACCCTCAGTGGTAAATTAGTCTGAGAGAGAAAGAGAGGCTCAAAGGCATCCTGCTTTTTTTCACAGGAATCTATCTGCTTCTCAAGCTGCCATTGACAGTCATATTAACTAACTTGTATTATAGACTAAGTCCATCAAGTCATAGTTGTTTAACAGATCTTCTAAATATTTTTAGGATTTCATGGAGTTGGAAAGTTAGGATGGTTACAGTTTCTTCAGTTTGTATTCAAAATACTTAGTTTGATCAGTCTTCATTTGTTTCTGTTATTGCTACTTTATACTATAGGAATACATTAACTTAATAAATAACAGCAAAAACATTTTTTCCAATGGTCAAATGATATTGCACCACATATTATACAATATATTACAAGAATATGTTGTATATATTTCAGCACGGTGCAACATGATATTATAATAATGGAAGAAAAAACATATTTTTTCTAGGACTAATTTGCAACGTATTCTTAATAAAGATGTGATGGAATATTTTGTTTTTCAATCAATAGAAAGATATTCTGGATCAGCAGCAGCAAGAAAGATATGATGCAGATTTTCATTACATATGCATGTTTTGTGACCAGCCTTTTTCAGGCAACAGGTTAGTACTAAACATAGTGTATTTTATGTTCATTAACATCCTAATGCTATATAATTGGAAAAAGTTCAGATGGGGTATCACAGAACAGTTTTCAGACGTTGTTATAGTATGCTTACAAATTAGGGTAGTAGCCTATAGCAAAGGTGTGAAACATATGACTCAACAGCTATTGGCTTTTGTTGATCTTTAGCCATTGACTTTACCTAATAGGACAATTGTAACTCTATGGGAGTTACAATTCGCCATATCTGAGGTCAACATAAAACCACATGGTGTAGTGCAGTGTTTTTCAACCTTTTCACAGATTGTACCACTTTTAGGATATGGCAATATTCAAGTACCACCAGTCACCTAGCAAGGTGTCAAAAACTTGACCCCAAAAAAAGAGGAAAAAAAAGTGATGAAGTACAGATAGTCCTCAACTTACAATTGTTTGCTTAGTGATTGTTCGAAGTTACAATGGCACTGAAAAAGTGACTTAATGACCATTTTTCACTCTTATGACCGTTGCAGGGTCAAGTGATTTACATTTGGATGCTTGGCAACTGATTCATATTTATGATGGTCACAATTCAGGATCACGTGATCCCCTTTTGCAACCTTCTGACAAGCAAAATCAATGGAGAAACCAGATTCACTTAAGAACTGTGTTATTAATTTAACAACTGCAGTGATTCACTTAACAAATGTGGCAAGAAAAGTCATAAAATGGGACATTCAACAAATTTCTCACTTAGCAATATAAATGTTGGGCTCAGTTGTGTTGTAAGTTGAGGACTACCTGTACACCCACTTACTAACATTTTTAATGAGAAACCTGGGCTTGTTTCTTTGACATTAATCTTCGCAGTGTTCTATCCCTTTCTCTCCTTCTGGTTGACTCAAAGAAGCCTCTCCTCCGCCTCTCTTTCTCCATCCCCTTCTCTTTCCCCATCAGTTTTTTTTCCCTCCCTTTCCCTCCAAAACCTTTTATAGGCTTTCCTCTCTCCTCCTTTTCTCTTCAATGTAGCTGCAGATGATGCCTTTCCCCAAGGCTGAAAAGTTTCTCCGCCTCTCTTTCTCTGTCTCCTTCTCTTTCCCCATCAGGTTTTTTACTCCCTTTCCCTCCAAAACCTCCTTTTATATCCTCCCCTCCTTTTCCCCAAGGCTGCACTGCTTCCAGAAGTGTCAGTCAGCTGGAGCCCCATGGCTATCCTGGGAACTCAGTAGAGCTCCGGCAACACCGTAGTTCCACCTGACTCTCCCAGAGGTCTTTGTGGTGTTGCTGTTGCTTCAGATCATGCCCTGCTACACTTTTACACTTTTTTTAAATACTTTTTTTTACAGTGCTTTTCAACGCGTACCACCTGCCAGGTGCCAAAGTATCACCAGTAGTATGCGTACCACAGGTTGAAAAGCACTGATCTAGTCATCTGCTTCATGCATTATTCCGCCCAGTGCTCCTAAGAAGCTCCTCAGCACAGAGGTGAATCATGGTTATAATGACTCTTGATAACTGATAGGAAATAGCAAAAAGGCTATATAATCTTGTCCAAAGATGCTTCCGTGGCATATGGCCAGTATGACTATATGCCAAGACACATGGAACACTGTTATCTTCCCACTGAAGTGGTACCTATTTCTCTACTTGTATTTGCATGCTTTTGAACTGCTAGGTTGGCAGGAGCTGGGGGAAGATTGGGAGCTCACCCCATCACTCTGTACCTGAATCTCAAATTGCCAACCTTCCCATCAACAAACCCAGTGTCTTAACCATTAGACCACTATGCCCCACTGTGGTGATGTCTTATATATGTTTAGTTACCTAAGGTGTGAAGGAACCGGGTTTTTTGTCTGCCCCAAATTAATTTTGGTGGAAGCTCCCAAATTTTAATATTTTGTTAGAACTTTTTCTTTCTCTCTGCACCACATATTGTACAGTGTATTACAAGAATATATTACATATCGTTCAGCACAGTGCAACACATTATGTTGTAACTCCCTGCTGAGTTTCACCCTTTTATAAACTGATAAATAATTTTGCTCTACCTAGTAGAAAACCTGCTCCAAACCTATGATTTATTTTAGATCTGTATATTCCAGCCGTAAAGGAAAGCATTGTTGAAAATAGTTCTCTATAATTTTAGGTAAAATCAGCACAGGTTTATAGACTCTATGCCAGACATGTCAAACTCACGATGTCACATGACATTGTGCGACATATTGGAACTTTTTCCCCATTGCCGGCAATGGGGTGGGCGTGGTTTCCTCATGACGTGTCCGGCCCGCGGGCCGACAGTTTGACACCCCTGCTCTATGCCTTCATCACTTTTCATTACATTTTCAATTTCATGGCCCTGTTGCATAGCATTAGTATATATAACACATTGCAATAGTTACTATAGCCAGCACTACTTTGGTAGCAAAAGCTAATCATGGTTGCTAGCGTAGGTTTGTTCTGCTTTTGCCTCAAAGCCTGCATAAAAGTTTATTGAATCAGGCTATAGGCATTCTTTTATTTTATTTTTAGCTTGGAAGACTTGACAGGGTGGTTTGGAGGCCTCAGATAAGAGAAAATATTACAAAAGGACAAGAAGCTGCACTGGTCTTCATATTCTGTACTTAGTGTGAAGTCATTGTTGAAGCAGTTGTTTGTTTTAGTTGAAATATAGGATGGTCATGTCATTTAAACTGGCTGTTCTGTATGAAATTTAGCTGTAGTTTGTACTATCATTTTTCTATGCTTATGAGAATAGACGATCCCTTACAGTGCTTCTATATGAACAAATGAAATTTGTTATTTTGTTTTAATAAATGAAAGCAAGCATTCTGGTAAGTGGAAATTTAAACTTAACTCTCAGAATATTTTTGTTGATTGTATTGGCTGTAGCAAAACTTACCTGAAAAAGAGGGTTTCTTTAGTTAAATTAATCCACCTAAGAAGAGCAGCTCCCTCTTGTGTATCACTATATTAAAGGATATTTGGATAGGAGTATATAAGAGTTTTATCCAGAAACTTCTTGTTTGAAAAATATATTTATTATTATGGTAGAAATCTGGAATAAAACTCCAACTCAAAAAAGGTGGATTTCCATGGATACCATGAAACACCATTGCCCAGACAAAGAAAAGACCATATGAAAGAAAAAAGAAAAATATATGAGAAAAAACATATATATTATGAAGACTGGTATAATTTATTTACTATCATGTGCTGCATTTCTATAAAATTAAATTTTGAAAATTTCAGAACATTACATAAACCCAGCCTGGGGAGATACGGGGAGCTGAGGTAAGGGGGCATTGCTTTTCTGATATGCCAACATTGTGGAATAGCGCCCTCCCGTCCCCTCCTCCCCTTGAAGATCAGACTGGCTCCTGCTGTTCTCAGCAAGCTCCTAAAAGCCAAGGTTTTTCAGACAGCCTTCAGATTGGATTTCATATTGTCACCTTTTATTTTATTTCTATTCTTGCAGTGTTGCTGTGTTTTTATTTGTGTACGGGATTGTTTGATATTGGGTTTCTTTCTATGCTTGCAAGCCATCAAGAGTCATTTTTATGGGCTACATAAAATATGTTTAATAGTATTTTAGACATAAAATATGTTTATTATTTAAATAAATAATAACCATATTATATGTTTAAATTATTTCTATTATTTTAGTTAACCTAACAAAAGTTCAAGGTTTCAACATACTGAAACTTAACAAAGTAGAAAGTTTTGAATCCTGGAATCTGAAGATGATAGTTAGGTAGGCTGGGCCCTGCTTACTCTGAATATCATTTTGGTTCTCTATGTTATTCTATTTTTGATGCAACTATTCAGCCCAGCAAATAGTATGATGTGAACATGAGAATGAGCCAGGATGAGCCAGGATGAGCCGAGGTGGCGCAGCAGTTAGGGTGCAGTACTGCAGGCCACTTTAGCTGACTGTGTTCAGCAGGTCAGCGGTTCAAATCTCACCGGCTCAAGGTTGACTCAGCCTTCCATCCTTCTGGGGTAGGTAAAATGAGGACCCAGATTGTTGAGGGCAATGTAAATTTATATATACATTGCTTACTGGTGTACACCGCTTAGAGAGTGCTTGCACTTAAAGCGGTATATAAGTCTCATAAATAAATAAATAAATATGGTCTTTGCTTTAAAAAAATATATATGATTGTGGTTGTTTGCCACCAGTGTTTCTATTCTAATGAAGTATGAAATATATTAAAATCATTTGTCTTCTTTGCTGCAGTGTAAAATGGTATCCCTGATGTATAATTACAATATTGATCAAAATCAGAATTGATTTTGGTTTTAAAGATGCAGATGATGTTGTGATATGGTGTTGTGAGAAGGAAATAACTTTGAAATATATGCATCCTAATTCCTTGCTGCTAGCAAAATAAAAAGATTTCCATGAAGTTATTCAGTAATAATTGTATTGGTCTGAAATTCACATTTTTCTTTGGTTAAGCACAAATTCTGTCAGTAAAAGGATCACTACAGTTACTTAGCACTCTTTGAAAGTATTTCAAGTAGCATTTGTGAATTTCTGGATATTAAGAGCTGCTTTGAATATTATTAATCTTTGTATGGCTGTTTACAGTGAAATTGGAAATCTAAGCAGCAATGCTTAATTCTAAGGATTATGGTTTTCATTTGAGTTTATTTAGTGGGGACCTGAAATGTATGTGGGGGGGGGAAGCAACACCTATATTCTGTTTCATTTATTTTTTAGGTCAGTCCTTCTCAATCACATGACAAAAGATCATGCATTCAATATTGGATTGCCAGATAACATTGTGAACTGTAAGGAGTTTTTGGATGTTCTTCAGAAAAAAATTGACAGGTATCTATTTGTATATAGCCAAGAATTAAAACAGTGCTGGAATACTACTATCATGTCTCCCCTATTTCTTCTTTTCTTTAGACTTGCCAAACCTAAGTCCTGCAGCCATTCTTTGTATGTTTTAGTCTCCGGGCCTTGGATATCTTAGCTGCTCTTTTCTGATTTTTTTCCAAACTCTCAACATCTTTTTTGTGATATGGTGACCAAAATTGCCTGCAGTATTCTAAGTGTGGTCTTACTAGGGTTTTATAAAGCAGTACTAATACTTCATGTGATCTTGATTCTATGCCTCTGTTTATACAACCCAGGATTGTATTGGCTTTTTTGGCTGTTGCTGCACATTGCTGGCTCATGGTTAAATGATCATCCACTAGGACTCCAAGGTCCCTTTCACAGTTACTCTTTTTAAGCCAGTTCTCGCCCAGTCTGTACTTGTACCTTTGATTTTTCCTACCTAAATCTAAAACTTTGCTTTTCTCCACATTGAAACTCATTTTGTTGGACAGGGCCTATTGTTCAAGTTTGCAAGGTCTTTTTGAATCCTGAGTTTGTCTTCTCGGGTGTTGGCTATTCCTGCCAGTTTGGTGTCATCTGTGAATTTGATGAGTTCCCCTTCAATTCCCTCCTCTAAGTCATTTATGAAGATGTTGAAGAGTACTGGGCCTAAGACAGAACCTTGTGGTACCCCACTGCTTACTTCTCTCCATGTGGATGTAGTGCCTTTGAAGACTATTCGTTGAGTACAATTTGCCAGCCAGCTACAGATCCATCTGGTAGTGATGTTGTCTATTTCACCTTTTTCTAGCTTACCAAGGAGTAGGTTGTGGTCTACTATATATCAAATGCCTTACTGAAGTCTAAGTATACTACGTCCACAGCATTTTGCTGGTCTACTAGTTTAGTCACTTTATCGAAAAATGAAATAAGATTGGTTTGGCATGATCTGTTTTTAACAAATCTGTGCTGGTTACTAGCTATAACTTTGTTTGCTTCTAGTTATTTGCAGATCTGTTTTTTGATTATCTTTTCTAAGATCTTTGCAGGTATTGATGTTAAACTGATTGGTCTGTAGTTTCCTTGATCTGTTTTTTTCTGGTGACATCGGAGGCTTCCGGTGGCATCGTTGGCAGTAGACCCTGGGATACGACTCTCCGTTCGCAGGGTCCAAATTTCTTTCGCTGGCAGGCCCATCAGGGCTGAATGCCACCCTGGAGGGGTGGCCATTGAGAGGTGAATTATTTGAGGAAAGGGAGCCGGTGGTAGCCGGCTCTCTGAACTCAAAATAACCTCTGGAACCGACGAGAGAAAGGCGGAGAGCTTCGCGTTTGCTGCCATCTTCAGCAGATCATCGGAGATAGGAGTCAGATGTTTCAGGAAGCAAGCAACTGGTCCGGGTGAGATGATATCAGTTTTTGTTGCAAAGTGGACCTTTGAGAAAATTGTCTGCCTTTAAAGTAAAGCTGGAAGCCTAAAGGGAGGAGGAAGAGGGGATTTTTGCTTCTCCCGCTTTCCGAAAAACAGCGGTTTCAGCGTTTTAAAACTTTTGAAAACTTTTTGAATTTAAGCTAGATTGAAGGAATCAGCCTGTTTTACTATAGAGGGAAAGAAGACTTATTACTATCCTACTTGGGAAAATCCACCTTAATTGCTCTTTTTTAGAAATCTTTAAAATGTTAGTTTTGTGTATTTACTGCTGGAACTTTTTCTTTTACTTTCTTTCTATGTAAACGGCGGGGAAAGAAACAGCGTTCCCTGGTGGTTATTTTGCAACTTTTCTCCTTTGTTCTTTTTTTTTTACACTAACTTTGTTGATTCAGCTGTGGAGTTTGGCTCAATGCCCAGACACTTGGCTGTCTGCCCAGACATTCCTATCTCTCTTGGAGATTACTAAGAGAGACTTTTTTTGCTTTGCTTTGCTTTGCTTTGCTTTGTGTCTGGTTCCCTTTTTTGGATTTGCTTTATTCTTTTCAAAATAAGGAAACTACAGAAGAAGATTTGTAAGTCTCTAACTGGATTATAAATTGGATACTGCTTTTTTTCTTTTCTTTTTTTTTCTATTGTTCCTTTTTTATCAGCTTTGCTGTGTGGATATAAACATATCCTTTATGTTCCTCTTTTTCTATTTGTTTTCTTTGTCTAGAGACTTTGTATTCCTTTTTATATTTTTTCCTACATTTTAACAATACTTGTATTGGATATTCTCACTTTTATTTTTACCTTTTTTTTTCTTTTTGGCTTTTATATTTTTTAAACTACTTTTGACCTTGATACTTGATAATACGAGGGTTTTGGATTATAATTTTTCTTTTTTACTTCTTTCCTTTTTTGAACTATTTGGTGGATTATAATTGGCCATCGGGCCCTATTTTTGGATTATAACTAACTGGGCCATTGGGCTTGATGGTGGATTATAAATAAATACAGTAACCAAGATGAGTGTTTCAAATTTGGCGAAAGGGGTGAGGAAGGGCTCCTCGGCTCCTGCATCAACCTCAGTGAGTCCAGCGCTTCAAAAAATCGATTACAACGTTTTTAAAACTGGACACTCAGCAAAAGAATACGCAAGCCATTCTCCAGGCAATTGTAGACTTTAAAATGGAAATGAAAAAGGACTTTGAAGACTTGAAAAATGATTTGCTTAAGATGGACCAAAAAATGGAAGCCTTTCAAGAGGCAATGTTACATATTCAAAGAATGCAAAAAATAGAAGACAAGTCAGTAGTAGTGGATCAGAAATCAGAAGCTCTGCAAGATGAAAATCAGAGATTGGCGCAATCTAATGCGGAGCTGGAAGAAAGTATAGCAATGATGGAGATAGAAAGGGCATAATGCTTTCTAAGATTTCAAAACATGATAGAAGAGAGTGATGAGAACCTGTTAGTATTGATGAGTGAATTATTGGCGGACTTGCTTGGAATGGAAATGGATCAAATCAAAAGAGAAGTCGATCAGGTTTATAGAGTGAATTCAAATTATGCAAGAAGAAACAGAGTGCCCAGTAAAAGTAAAGTAAAAGAGCAGTACGAGATGAGATCCTGAGAGTAGTAAGGGATCAACCACTGAAATATAAAGATAAAGATAAAGAACTGGTAGTTCTCAAACAGATTCCAAGAAGAATTAGAAAAGCTCGAAGAGAATACCAATTCTTAACAAGGAAATTGATTAGCAGAGGAGTGAATTTCAGATGGTTGATCCCAGAAGGATTACTAATTTTTTGGGATTCAAAAAGATATAGAGTGAGCACTCCACGACAAGCAGAGGATTTCTTTGACAATCATGGAGCCTTCTTGGAAAAAGGCGAGGCAGAATCTAAGAAATCAGAGGAAATGACTACAGAAACATCAAAACAAACAGAGGAAGAAGTAGCCAAAAGACTCAGAGGAAGATGTTAGACCTAAAGATCAGAGACAGATATGTTCTCTTAGAAAATTGAGATCCTGACATAATTGAAATCATGGAGGAAATTGGAATTTTTTTCAATAAATATAAATGGTCTTAACTCCCCATCAAAAAGGAATAAAATATTTCATAGATTACAAAAGGTAAAAATGGACATAATCTGTCTCCAGGAGACACATATTAAGATACAACATTCTAGAATCCTTGAACAATCAAAACTAGGTAAACTTTATTTCTCTTTGGCATCACAAAAGAAAAGAGGGATAGCTTTATACATAAAAGAAAAGATGAACTCAAAACAAATTTATGTTGACGAAGAGGGAAGAATATTAATGGTGGAGATCACATGGAACCAAAAACAAATACTGATGGTTGCGATATATGCTCCCAATGAGAAACAAGATCAATTTTTCAGCAATTATATGATAAACTTGTGGACTTAAATTATTATAACCTGTGTATGCTTGGTGATTTTAATGCAATCGTTGATCCAGTATGGGACTACAAAAGTTAAAAACAAGGGAAAAAAGGAAGTAATATCTTACCTAAACCCTTTCTAAAAATGAAAGATGAACTCTGTATACAGGATACATGGAGACAGATGAATCCGGAAAAAGCACAATACACTTTTTATTCTAATAGACATAAATTGTGGTCAAGAATTGACATGAAATGGCTTCTCATGATTTAAAGACCACGATACAAGAAATTGAAATAGAATCGAATATTTGGGCAGATCATAATCCAATTAAAATGACCTGGAAAGGATCTAGGAAAAGATCGAGATGGTCTTTGAATAAATCAATATTGAAGGAAAAGGAATTTCTATAATTTGCAACAAAAGAAATGGATTTTTTCTTTAAAATTAATAAAAAAGAAGAAACTTCTATTCAAATTGTATGGGACACGGCAAAAGCATACTATAAGTTTGGCTATAACTTATCTTGCCAAAAAGAATAAAGAAAAGAAACATACTCACCATAGATTGAAAGAACAACTTAGTATTCTGGAATCTGAGTTATAATTGGATCCGCAAAAAAAAAGCTGAAGATACAAATGGAATTATTAAAACACAAATTAAATTTACTTGAGATGAATACAATGGCACAACAGATTAAACGATCTAAATAGAATTTCTTTGAAAATGCTAATAAACCAGGGAGATGGCTTGCATATAGATTTAAAAAAGAAAGAGAAAAAAGATTAATAAGTAAGCTATGGGATTCAGAGGGTGAGCTACACTGTCACAATGACAATGAAAAAAATTACGAAGGCTTACTAAGAGACACTTTATAAGGCGGACATGGTCTCTAAAGAAGCAGTCCAGGATTACTTAAAAGAAGCAAACCTCCCAAAGGTTCCTGAGAATATGCGGCAGAGGCTAAATGAGAATATATCAATGATGGAGATTACAGAGGCAATAAAAAAGCAAAAGAAAGATAAAACACCAGGACCTGATGAACTTCCTGCAGAATCTTATGTAGCACTACAAGATATTGTTATGTGCTCCTGGCTACTTTCCTTTGTGACCAGAGGCAAGCTCGCCTGACCAATAACTAGCCAAGACACAGTGAAGGCCTTTTGTTTCGTTTATTACAATA